AATTTCAAGGGCAGGAGAATTACCAGGCAGGTTCTGACTACAGAATGGAGCCTTGTCTGTGTATTTTTGCATGCATTTGTGCCACTACCAATCTGTCTGTGTGTAATGCAATAGCCCAGCTCCTTTGCTGAACTGATTGTAGCCAGGAGAAGGAAAGCAAGCTCACCCAGAATTAGGACACATTTGGGAACGACACAGTAAGAGAAACTAAGGTACAAAATTAATAAGGACAAAATCTATTTTTCACATCATATTGCTACCCCTTCCTTCAGTAACTCAAAGGCATATAGCTCTTAGTTTGAAAATCCATCAGAGAATCCTTGATATCTCATGAAGTTTTTTTTTTTTCCCAGAGTTTTTAATCAGTAATAGTGACACATTATAGCCCTTTGGCATTACGGTGGCCAAACTTGTCAAAAGGTACTGATTCCACTACCCTTTGATTCCTCCCATAGATGACATATGGATAATTCCATAGCAAGAATTCTAAAAGCACACATACTGTGAATGGGAAAGAGCATTAAATAGTCCCTGGTCTTCGGTCCTTTCTACATCAGTGCCAAGAAGGGATGGTGAATGGAGGTACCATTGAGAGCAGAGAGGAAAACAATGATTTCTTATGGAATGAGTTATACTGAAATGAAGGATGTCTTTCTGTATGATGTGAACATGGGTTCCTTTTATTGGTTGATGAGTAAAGCTGTTTTGGTCTATGGCAGGGCAGAATAGAGGTAGGTAGAAAATCAAAACAGATATATAGAGAGAAAGAAGGTGGAGTCAGGGAGACACTGGCAGTCGCTGGGGAAGCAAGATGTCATGAGCCTCAAGGTAAAATATAAAATAATAGAAATGGGTTGATTTAAGTTGTAAAAACTAGTTAATAATAAGCCTGAGCTAATAGGTTAAGCAGTTTGTAATTAATATTAAGCCTCAGAGTGGTTATAGGAAACTGGCAGGCAGGAGAGAAACTTTTAGTTACCCTGAGATACCTTAACGAGTAGTAATAACTTGGCTTGATTTCTTTGTAGAGCATCCTATCTGAGGGGCTCAACCTCAGCAATTTTGAAATTCTTCTCAGGCTTGGGAAGTAGCCACTATGAATTTGTGTTTCAAGGTAGAGTGAATTTGAATGAATTTTCTTCAGCAGTTTTGAAATTTCTCTTAAACTCTTGAGCCATGGTTATATTACTGTTCTCATTCAACCAATGTCCTCCAACATAGTTACAACCCAAGTTATAGGCACTTCGGTTGATCTGATCAGTATCCACTTAAGGCGGGGAAAGTTGGGGACTGATACAACAATTCCTATCCCTGTCATTGCTCAGAGCCAAATCAGGCAGCTGAGTTTCTATCTGATGCATTTTGTTATAGTGGCTCAGTCTTTTTGAAGGAGGAGTATCATCCACGACAATGCAGCTGCCTATCTATGGTATCTCTCTGAAGTGAACTTGGTTCTGTGAACCATTTCATCCTTTGTCTTCCCTGTCGCTTCATGTATGAACCCCACAAAAACCTGATTCCTTTTCTGGCAGACGACACAGATGGCCCAGTTCTGGGGTTAGGAGCACTAAGCATTAGCCTTGATTTGAAGAGCTGTTAGGGAAAACATTTTCAGAACAGAATGTGAAAACGTTCTCTAGGGGCAGGTCACACAGGGTGCTTTTCATGGTAGCTGCAGCTCCCTCTGCTGCCCAGTTAAGGGCAAGAGAAGGCAGCTCCAGGAACCCTCAGTAGTAGGCAATCAGTAGAAAAAGGTGAGTCTGAGGCAAGCCAGGGAAGGACTCAGGCAGGCGTGGGCTGCCTGTTTGCTGGTGAGAGCGGGACAAGATAGGGGGCTAAATTTTTACAATGACACCACCAAACTATTGGTTAGAATCAAACAGACCAGCCGCAGCAAAATTTGCATTCATACGGAAGTGACACCCAGAGTTCTTTGCTCCTTTGCTGACTTAAGGGGACACTGCTCTCACTGTCTTCTACCGTCCTTCCCACCAGCTTAACCTAAGGGCACATTAAACAGCCTACGCTTTATGTTTCTGCTCTGAAAGTGGAATTTATTGTGTATGGAAAAAAAATACAGAAGACTATGACAAGAACAGGTACTGACAGAGAAGCAGCCAAAAATCTAGTTATTTTGAGCTCCACCAACGCCATTTTTTCTTAAAGCTTTTGTTCTCAGTCGTGGCTATACATTGGAGCCATTAAAAGAAGTTTTTGAAACTACTGATTCTTGTGGCTTACTCTTGAAGATTTAATTATCCTGGGCTATGGCTTGAGAGTTTTCAACATTCCCAAGGAATTATCACCTGCTGCCAAGTTTAAGGCCATTGTTGAAGATCTTGTCACCGTCCTGCAGAGTCCAAAGTCTCCAGAGGGGGAAAAGAGCCACACAAAGGGAACATCCTACGGTAGTGTCAGAGCAGCTGTGGGTCACGGAAACATTCTCACCTTCTGTATGTCATCCTGAGATCCTAGCCAGAGTAAAGACTCGAGTTCTACCCAGACCTTCTAGATTATAGTCTTCATTTGAACAAAATCCCCGTGTCATCTGCACAGCCTCCAGTTTGAGAAGATCGCTCTCCCAGTCTCTCTTTTGCTTCCTCCATTTTCTTCTTTTTTCCTATGGCTTCTTTGATTCCATATACTACAGATGGTTTCTTGGACATATCTGACAAGGATATATCCTTGCAAAAAGTGGGGGGAGGGAGGGTTCATGTCTCGGTTTCAATAATCCCTTCAGATTGAAATCCCTTTAAATTAATTTTTTTTCAGCTGCCAAGCCTTAGTCTGACTTTCTAATGCCTGTCTCAACTCATGAACACCCTCTTCGTGTGTGGTGACAGACCACAAGGGGCCTCTTATAGAGACTCTAAAAATATTCCTCACAGGCCTGGTGCAGAGGCCCTCAGGCAGGCTCTCGTCTCCTGTTGGGACTGGGCTAACTTTGACAAAGGATCTTCGGAACATCACAGCTGTGAGAGCCAATGTGGAGGATGATTGCTGTTTACTAAGGGCTCAGAATGAAAAGCAATCCTCCTTCAGAACCCAGGCCTTAAGGTTAACAGTAAACCCGAAGATGAGTGGAAGGCTGGCCCTGAGCACAGGTTTCAAAACACAATGTAAATGGGGTCGGGTAAAAGGTAGGGAGGCAGGACAGGGCTTTGGAGGAAAAGGAGCAAGCAGAGTAGATGCTTTAAAAAGCGGAATGAATCTAACTGGAACTGCACTTTTTTTTTCTGTCTTCCTCACACAGTCCATTTCAAAAACTATTTTAAAATATGACTTTTAAAAGGTTCCTATTGAGACAGAAACATTACAAGAATCTCCATTGCTATCTTCACATTTTTTTTCTGTCTTATATTCTTTCCAGAGGCACAGGGTCCTCTTTATGATGCTTTTATGTCTATAAATTGTTTAGGAGAAGTCACTGAAACCTAATCTCTGAACGCGCAAGGCCCCTGGATTGGCGGGGAGGGGCAGGGTGAGGACGAGATACAAATTGCAGGGAGCAGAATAATCAGATACAGGGGGACTTTGATCTTCTGGAGACCTAAGCTAATAGATGTTAAGTGTAGTTCAGTGGAAGTAATAACCCATGAAGAAAACAAAATCTGCAAAATGATAAAACGCTGCAGTCTACTGATCAAGGAAGACATCGGAAAATTACCATGAAAGCCTCCTTAGCCCGGCAGATCCAAGGTGAAGAAAGGGCTCCTTCTGCCAGCCAGCAGCCAGACATCCTGGGCAGACTCAGCCGGCTCCCAGCCTCCAGCCAGATTATCACTCCCTGTAACCCCAGTGCTTTCTCACTACTGAGCGCACTGGCACTGGCACTCTGAGAGGCCTGGCCTTCGTCCTGTCTTCTTGTGACGCCACAGCAGATCCCCATGTCCTCTGTGGAGGCATTTCAGGGGATGCTATTTCTAGGAGTCAATGCATGCAAAATTTCCTGAATTTCCTCCAGTATTATTTTTTTCTTTTTGACAACAATACAACATAGTAAAGACAAATAAGATAGCTTTCAATACACTGAAATCTGACCCAGTAAACAATTCAAGAAGACACTGGGAATTCGTGAACATTTAAGTACAATTGAAATATAAAAGTGTGCTCCTTAGCGCTAGTTCATTTAAGTACCTGTTTATTGAATAATGAGTATATTATGCATCCTGGGCTGAATTAAACTGATCTATCTGCAGAGGAAATTAATAGTTAATATTAAAAAGAAAATCTAAAAATCAAAACAGCTAGATAATTTTACTGTTAAGAGAATTAAATAAACAAATAAACACAACCCCAAAAACGTGAGTTTTAAAAGACAAGAAACTAGGAGAAAAGCGGCATCCAGTTTCAAAGCTTGGCCTCTTTATACTTCACGTAATGGCTAATTAAACATATGGCATATATTATCTGAACCACAAATTAATTTGTTTGGCTAGAGTGGGTCCAGACAAATGAAAATAAAGGAAAGCCACAAAATTTAATTTAGGCAGGATGGAGATAGCTGTGCTGGGCACCGGCATTCAATTCGTGTCTGAGAAGCTCGCGTTGGAGCACTTACAAGAGGCACCTTCCTTGGAGGAGTCCCCTCTTCAAGCAGGGAGAGTAAAACTGGCAAACTTCATGGAGTAGGACATATGAGGTGGCTGATGGCCGAAACGACAGAAAAGAAAAGGAACTGAAATTGAAATAAGTGGAGGGGGGGGTGACAGAGAAGAGAGAACTGGGGAGGGGACAGGGAGGGGAGGGGTGAGGAAGGGCTGGGGAGGGGGTGGGAAGGAAGGAGGGGAGGGAAGGTTACAGATTCATCACAAGGCATTCACACTCTCTGGACAGTTTCCTCGTGTTAACTTACATGGTGAAGGGTATCCACGTCTACCTTTGCTCTAACGCTGACTTTGTATGTCCATGTTTACAGAAAGACTGGCCCTTTAAAAGAAGGACTTTACCCGGAAGCGAAACTGAGACTACATGAGGTGAAAAGGAGAGTTGCTGGAAAATCAAAACTTGGAGCTTTCAGACAGTTGTTGGAGATTTTATTTTATGGAACATATGTACTTGTTTTTGAAACAAATGGAGTCCTTGTCTGAAAGGTCCTGTGGGTACAGGCCTGCTGCCCAGCGCAGAGTAACCAGCTGAGTGGTTAAGATGAGGAGGGCTGGCTCCGGGTTAGTCCGTCTCTCCGCCACGTCCTGCTGCCTGTACGTCAGCAACCCTTCTTATCTGTTAAATGCATATAACAATTTAGACTTAGTAAATGCTTACGTGCTGAGGGGATTAACTAATGATTGTGAACCACTTTGGAAATAGAAAACATCCCGTGTGTGTGTGTGTGTGTGTGTGTGTGTGTGTGTGTGTGTGTGTGTGCAGAATTAATAACGGTTAGATAACAGACTGCCCTAAATTTTACTTTAAATTCAAGTAACCCTTTTCTCGGCGGGAAAAGTTTTGCCACTAAACAGAAGACTTTATTTTAACTAGAGGTTTTCACGGTATTTTCATTTGAGTTGAATTTCTGTTCTTCAGATCCACATTTCTGCCAATTTCTATCTCTTGTGCTTTCTCTGGCACAACCAAAAGAACAAAGTTAATAGCAGAGAAAGGACAAGCGTTAAGAGTGCTGCATTTACCGTCACTTGTAATTCTACTATTAAATGCTCTTGGCATTTGCGAAATTCTTCTCAATCTTACTTTCTTCCTCCCCTCGGAGGGGAGAAACAGCCACTGAAAACATGAAATTTAATCCAAAAATAACCCTTCTCCTCATTCTATGTTCTAAGACTTTCTCTTGACCCTCACGGCGTGACCTTGGGTCTCCATGGGACCGTCTACAAGATCTACAAAATCTGCCTTTGTTTCTCCTTAAGCATTCTAGAAGGAACACATATGTATGCCCTCATATGCTGTGTGTGGTGTGGTGTGGTGTGTGTGTGTGTGTCTCTGTGTGTGTGTACATATTACACATAGAGGATTTGTATAGAATTATTTTTTTCACTTTGATTTCTGCCTGTGGAACAGATTGAAGATTTTACTCTCTCGTGGTCTTCAAACTTCCACTCAGTTGATTCGCCTGCCAAGCACAGTGACCAGTGCGGCCGCTCCTGATGGTGGGAGCATATGGTACCGCTGGGAATAGTTTCGCTCTGAGTGCTGTGAAATCCCACGCCTTCCTACAGAATGTGTTTGGAGGAGCAAATGGTGAGTGTCTCTCTTCAGTGTAGCTCCTCTTCCCTGCCTGCGGAACACAGTCAGTTAAACAACACAATCAAGGGAACCCTGCAAACTGCTAGGTACTGGTTGATGTCCAGTTTCAGGGCTAATGGCAGCAGTGAACTCTTTCTTCCGTCCAGGGCAGAGGGTTATCACCGACTCATCCTGGATTTCTCAGAACAATAATTCTGAACCAATCAGCTCTCACTTTTGTTTGTTTTACTCTCTTTCCTCGGTTTCTTCCTCAAAGTGAGCTCAAACCGGAGCTCTAGATTAAGGTGGGAGGCTGGACTTGCAGATGGAAATGTCAAGCTCTCATTAGCCTTGTAAACTCGGCTGCATTCATGCTGTGTCTCTTCCGTGAAGCAGAGACTCTGGACCCCTCACGTCCTCTCCAGTTCCTAGATGGTCTGTGTTGGATACATGTCATCCACGTCCGCTCCACTCCAAACCACATCTCAGAGAAAGTCTCTTTCTGCACATTTCAAACAAATTGCTGTCTTTCATTTTGTAAGGCATCTTCAGGAACTAATTTGGTTGCTTCTCCCTGGGTTTACACCTCCACCGCCTTGGAACACTTTTGTATATTTAGTACAACACTCTCTTCCTACAGTATAAGCACCCTCTCGCTTCTGAATCTTGTGAAAGTAGAAAACAATACTTTGGACTTTAGCTGTAGTAACTTTTCTTGTTTATACTCACTCTTTATTAAATCTCTCAAAGCTGTGACCCTTACAATGTGCATTCCAATGTCGTTAGAGTGGCCTGCCTTCTTCATCCTCTCCCATGCTGCCATCACAGGCATGGACAGGGTTGGCTGCTGGGATGGGGCCCTTCGAATGCTCGACTGTGAGCTCCTGTGAGCCATGCTTAGGGCTTCACAAGCAGAGGGGAAAGCGAGCAGACGCTCCTCTTGTAGTGAAGAGGGCTGCGGAAACTTCGGTCCTTGGCACGCGTCAGTGAGAGGATGAGGATTTGCCTGATGGGAAGCTTCAAGTGCAGAGGCACTCGTACATCTACTTATCTTCAGTCTCAATGATGCTGTTTATGAGCGAGCTGCTTAAATGGGGGGGAAGAAGCTCACGGAGAAGGAGACATCGCAGTCTGGAGTGATTATGTTGAGCAGGAGAGGCCTGAACACAAGTCCAGTGGGAAAGGAGGAAGGGGATCAAATTAAGAATGATTAATGGCAGATCCCCAGTGGCTTCACTGCATCCGAAGGAGCGAACAAGCTGAGTGAGAAGCACTTGATGTAGAAAAAGAGCACGCGTGTGAGGGAAAATGTATCATTCTGCAAATGTTGACAGCTTCTAAGGAAGGGGAAGAAACACGGAGGAAAGGGAAGCTGCGTGGCTGGTGCCTGAGGCATCCTAGTTGGCATGGCACCTTTTCTGGCCTTCTAGAGAAACCCCCTCAGACGCATTTCGATTGGGCCGATTCTACAGAATGACTGTTGCCCGATGATGGATTGGGATGCAGAGCGATAGGTACCAGCAATTAGGAAACTCGTTTAAGAGGTTACATTAGCTTCCTTTGTGTCGCTGTAATAAAATTACGTGACCAAAAGCGACTTCGAGGAGAAAGGGTTTCTTTTTGCTTCCAGATGGAGCTGCCGGGAATCCATCATGGTGGTCCTGGCCTGGCAACAGGCAGGGGAAGCATGGCAGCATGAGCGGAAGCTGGCTGCTCGTAATTCCGTGCCCATGCAGGAAACAAATAAAGAGAGCGGGAACAGAGGTCAGCTATAAAACCCAAAAGCCAGACCTCAGTGACATACTTCCTCTAGCAAGACTCCAGGTCCTAAAGGTCCCATAACCTTCTCAAACAGTGCCACCAATTGACAACTAAGTGTTCAAATTCATGAGCCTGTGGGGGACATTTTTTATTAACGTCAGGTCAGCATGAGAGTCAAGGCACTTCTCCTAAACATTCCCTTAAAAGTCTTGTAAAGTTTGTGGGGTGTGTGTGTGTGTGTGTGTGTGTGAGAGAGAGAGAGAGAGAGAGAGAGAGAGAGAGAGAGATATTCAAGCTGAGAATAAGAAACTAGATTTTTAGTTGCAAAAAAAAAATAAAAAACCCAGGGTCATCTGTGTGTTTTGGGGAGGAGAGGTAAATGTGTGTGTGTCCATGTGGGTAGGCAGGGTTGTGCTGGTATACGTGGAGGTCAGAAATAGATCTCTAGTGTCTTCCTAGATTACTTTCCAAGAATCTTTCACTTGGACATGGAGTTTGAGGACTTAGCTGCTGTAGTTACTCAGCTCGCCCCAGGGAACTCCTGTTTCTATCTAGCAATTATTGGAATTCTAGGAAGGTTGCCATCCTTGGGCAGCATTTCAGTGGGGTCTCGGGAGCTGAATTCAGTCTTTATACATCCACTCAATCGAACCATTTCCCCAGCCCCATGATCAGTGGTGTATGAGCCTTCTTTTGCAGCCTCCTCACAGCAAAAATATACCACACAAACATTCTATACACTGCTTATTAAGTGGAAGATAATATTCCAAGGGTTTCATGTATGTCATAGGCTATCGTTTTTCCTCTTTCAGAGACGATAATGCAAGCAGAGCCTGCCTATTTGTTTCCCAGCCGCCCAGACTGAAATAACACAGAAACTATATTAATTCCAACACTGTTTGGTCAATAGTTTAGGTGTATCTCTAGATAGCTCTTATATCTTAAATTAACCCATTTCTATTAATTTGTGTATCACCACAAGGCTGTGGCCTACCAGCAAGGTTCTGGCGTTCATCTCCTTTAGCAGCCACATGGCATCTCCCTGACTCTGCCTACTCTCTCTATATCTCTGCTCGGATTTCTCACCTGACTTTATTCTGCTAAGCCATTGACCAAAACAGCTTTACTCATCAACCAATAAAAGCAACACATTTACAGAAGGACTTCCCACACAAGTCATTTTTCTTCTTTCACACACAAGAACACCAAAAATCAAAGATATAATTTACCCACACTAAAGGAGTTACTGGGTTACTTCTATCTTTAGAATGCAAGCCTTGGAACAGTAACAATTACATAGGATTTTTAATCACATTCATAATGCTTTGGTGTAGTGAACTCTCAAACATGCTAGCTGAATACAAAGACTAAAGCTTCATTACTGATATGATGCCAGGTCCTGGTAAATTTTTTTCTCCAAAATCAACATAAACACTATTAGATAACTAAGGTCCCATTCTCTCAATGTGTACTTATGGAGCATCTCCTATGTGCCAGGCCTTAGTCTGCTTTGTTCTTTTTGTGTTGAAGGAAAAATGCCTGGTGAGTGACTTGTGCCAGTCACCTCTTGTGCCCACTCAGGTTTGACTCTAACTTCTTCTGACAAGTCCCTGCCTCTTCCCAACGAGCCCCACACCATGCAGAAACCAGTTTTGTTGCCATGTAAGGAGCTTAGGCTACATTTTCCTCCTTTCCCATTAGCCTTGGATTGGTAAGACCCACTGGGGATAATGACTTGGTGCTCGGGAGAGTGTAGAGGCTGCATGCAGTGTGTCTCAGGGAGTAGGGGGCTTGAATTGCAGATGTTTCATTGTTTCCTCCCTTTCCATTCTGAAAACTTTCCAGAAGGAGAGATCTATTTGAATGGTTTTCAAAATCCATCTTAAGGTCAGCTCTAATACAGTTGGGACCTGGCAACGGTATGATTTCAGCATCATTGCACAGCTGCCAAACCATGCTAGATGCTCACCTTTCCCTCAGCCACGGGACTCTGGCTGCCCACACAGCTGCCCTGCATCCTCCTGGGCCAACCCAGTCTCCCAGAAATGGGCAATGTGGTCAATGCCAAAGAGAAAATCTGCCCTATATATGAAGAGAAGTAGGTAGTTAAAGGAGTCAGAATCTTGGTTTTGGTAAGTGTGGAGGTTGAGCACCCGTTGAGTCCCGTGCTCAGTACCATATGACCTTCCCCTTTTCTTCATTTCAGTAATCTGCTTAGTTCTTTAGCAACAGAGGTTTAGATTCCCATAGGCTCTGGAATGAATCAGATATTCAGTGAATGTATGCCCAGTGACTAACACATACAACATAATAGGGAAATGAAGATTCAAGAAACCCTTGTTCTAGTGTCTTTAATTTTATAATAAGCAAGATGATAAACCATGGAAAATCATTCCTCTTTGCATCACTTTCATTTGTAAAGTAAGATTAAATAAGATAGATATTTATTGTCCTTACTGTTCATAAATTTTACAAGGGAAAGTTTCAAAGCTTAATTCCATAGTTAAAAAAAAAAAAAAAGACATCAAACCAGAATCCAAGGATAAGAGTTAGCTTCTGACTCTGAATGCCCCTAACTAGCCATGAAAGTCCAATGTAACTAAACCAGTTTATAGGCTCCAAGAGCATAATAAAGGACACCTGGGGCAGAACAACACTAGCCGTGGCCAATCTAGGATAGCCAAAATCCCAGTTAAGTCAGCATTTAAAAGATAAGTAAATGATAGTTTTAAACCACTGTTTTGAGTATATGTTATGCAGCATTTGTATACCAATAGCTGACTAATACAGTATTTGTTTACAACAGAAAGAAGGAAGTGCAAATTGCTTTATGAAATTGAAGTCTGAAAGTTAATATTCTCAAATGTATTTACTAGTCTACATTTGATGAAACTTCATACATATATTATGGTAAAGTTTTAGTAAATGAAAGAAAATAAAAAATTGACTCAAATTATCTTTCTAGCTCAAAATGGCAGTTTTGATGATGTCTGAAGCATTTTAGCTGATAAATGGTCAACCTTTGGGACTTCCATTAGTTCTGAGTATTCTGGGTTTGATTTTTGATTTGTAGTGTTTTTATCAGAGAAGGACTTAGTCTGTGAAGGCCAAAATTTGATTACAGAAAAGGTCTGTACATCTTTAACAATATAGTTCATTTAAAAAAAAACAGTCATTTTAATAATCACTTTAGTCATATTAGTAGGTTATATAATCCAATGTCACAGGTCGCTAGTGAGGATAAAGGGCTACCT